CGCCGGCGGAGGCGGCCTCGCTATTCCTTCCGCCGACCTCCCGCCGCCTTCGGGCGGCGGAAGGGATGGCAACTCCCTCGATCCTCGAAGGCAAGGCCCCTTTTCTTGGAACGCCCCACATGGGCCGGAGTCTAACGCTGGCTCCCAGGCATTGCACTCGTCACAGCGACGAGTGGGGGCCGAGCGAGGGCTGGCGCAGAGGCGGGCAGCAAGAGGAGGAGAAAGGCAGGGAGGAGCATACACGGAGGAGGTTGTCGGCACGAACTGTAAGGCTGAGGAGCAGCGCCGCGCCCTCCTGCCGAGGAGTGCCGAGCTCTCGTGATGAGGCGAGAGCCCCAGAGCTTCGCCCCAAATCGTCGGAGTTTCGGTCTCACTGAGCCTTGGCTTGCCTTGCCTCCTTCTCCTCACGTCTCGTCGTCCTCCTCCTCCTCCTCGCCCTCCTCCTCCTCCTCCTCCTCCTCCTCCTCACCTCTACCCTCGCCCAAGTGCTCCCCCAGGGATTTCACTGAAGGCTGGGGGACCACGTAGTCCACTCGCGTGGCCAGCCTTTGCCCGACGTTTGGCCACATGGGCGTTTCCAAAAGGGGAGGAGGCACAGTGATTCGCCGTAGGCGTCTGCGATATTCGTCCTGAGCCACACGCCCTGTAGTGTACTGCTCTTCCAGTTCGCGCCGCCACTCGTGTGAGAAATGTCACCTGTTTGCGACGAGCTCCCCTCCTCCACTCGCGAAGCAAAAAATTAGGATCCCCGACGCATCGAGCCCAAGATGCTGTCATTCTTTGAACAAGTCATGGCATGGATGTCAATAAGTGGCCCCAAACATCGGACTTGGGTTATGTTGCTCCCATCCTACTTAAGGACCGCATCCCAGAAATAATTTCGAGCACCTGGAAAAGTGTCGAAATACTGTCGAAAGAGTGTCGAAACAGTGTCGGCCGAAAGTCTGCCAGGGCCCGACACGTGAAAACCCTTGAGTTTCGGTACATTCTTATTGTGCTAGAAATTCTTGCTGGGAGTCAAGGCTAAAGTAGGTTGGAACAACATGCGACTTGGGGTCGACGAGTCCATTGGCCCCTCCCTGCCCTCCCCAAGCAACGCGGTAGCGGATATGCGCGGCAGCGCAATTTGATATCAGTTGTTCGTAACTGTCGGCTCCTCTCCATTCCCCCAACTGCTCATGGCCTCTTTTTCTTCGTGTGAGAGATACAGCGTTCCAAGAGCGCCCCAAGAGGCGACCTTTGGGGTTGCCGAGCGGGGGCCTCGAGTGAGGAGCCGCCCTTCCTTGGCTGACCCCCTGCAGGATGGCCCTAGAGAGCGCCCCTGAGGCTCCCAAGAGCGCCCTCAGAGGGCCCCCAAGAGGCGCCCAGACGGATCCAGGAGGTGCTCAACCTCCTCGCCGCCCTCGTCGTCGCCGTCTCAGGGTCGGCGGCACCGGCCGCAAAGCCTTCGCACCCTCTGCTGCTCGTGGCTGTGGGCGCTCGCTCTTCCGACCCCCCAAAAACTGCAGGCGGGTGCGAAGTGGGTCGGCCCCCGACGGGGGTCGCCGCTTCCCTCGAGGAAGTGCCTCTGCCTCTCGAGGAACTGGACCTCCCCAAGCAAACTTCGGGCCCCTCCAGGACGGCCCCACTCCCGTCCAGAGACCTCCTCGCGCTCCGATCCGAGACCCCGCTCTTCGGGAGGCACCGAGGACCCCCCTTGGTGGTGACTTCGCCCAGCACTGCCCGACTGCTCACGTAGGGAACCGAATTCGACGCTTGTTCCGGCACTGCACTGACATCTGCACAGGAAAGCGGACCCTGGTGTATGTGGGACCCTGGTGTACACATTCCGCGTTGCTCCCCCCGGAAGCGGATAAACCGAAGTATGCACCACACCACCCCGACGTCGTCCCCGACCCTCAGAAAGTCCTGGGGTCAAAATACCGCCCGCCACTGGTACTGTAACTCTGTGTTCTCGTGTTCGATCACGCCCTCCTCGCGCCCTCAGCCCCCCGTGACGGCCATGGCCCCTTCCCGCAGCCTGCGAGCTGCTGCAGGTGCGGCAGCAGGCCTCGTACCCCCGGGCCCGGTCGCGCCCACAGCCGTTAACGCAGGGCAGCGCGCAGGCCTGGCGGGGCGGGCGGCTGGAGGAGGGCGAGGAGGGCGTATTCGGACGCGGGCTGGAGTCGAGCGCTGGCTCCCAGGCACTGCGCTCGTCACAGCGACGAGTGGGGGCCGAACGAGGGCGGGGGGAGAAGCGGGAAGCAGCAGGAGGGAGGAGAGGAGGAGCATGCACGAAGGATGATGAGGAGGAGGAGGAGGAGGAGGAGGAGGAGGAGGAGGAGGAGAGGAGGAGGAGGAGGAGGAGAGGAGGAGGAGGAGGAGGAGGAGAGGAGGAGGATGTTGGCACGAAGTGCAAGGCTGAGGAGCAGCCCCACGGAGCCGCCTCCATGGTGGGGAGGAGGGGCAGGCAGGGAGGAACAGGAAGCAGCGAGACGAGGGAGCGGGGGGTGCTCGGGGCGCTCCTGTGTCGGCGGCGAGCGAGGGGGGGAAGTGAGGAGGAGAAGGCTTTCTCAGAAAGCGAAGGGGCTTCTCAGGAGGCCTCCGGCCTTCTGGGAAGCTTCCCGCGCCTTCCGGGACGGCTTAGGAGAACCTTGCCCCAGTAGGTTTCGGGAGGCCCCAGGAGGCCACGGGCTCATGCGCAGAGACGCGCTCGCACTACTGAGGCTCATTCACACTCCAATTCGTTCGCAGTCAGATTCATGACCAGACAGTCACAACTCAAGCCCGCTCATATTCGAAAACCCTTGCGCCTAGGCACTCACGGCGGACAGGTCCGTGCGAATAGATGCACATATGGGGAGCTCCACGCAGCGAATGATTATTGTTTCAGGACGGCGTCCCCGGAATTCCCGATCCTTTCCCCGGGACTGGTTTTTCGTCCTGAATCGTCTTTGACGGCCCCGAGGCCCGACGAGGGCCCCCCGGGGCCGAAAAGACTGCAACAAACCTTCCGGGCGGATATTCCTTTACGACGCCATCCTGTCTGCACGGGTTCCCCTCCTGAGGACCCCGTCCCTCAGGGCTCGGGGACCTTCTGACCCGGGTCAATCCAAACCCGGGTCAGCAGGAAACCAACAACTGCAAGGCAGGAAAAACAAAACAAAAACAAAAAAAACACGGCACCGCAGGTCTTCGCAGACCCGGGTCAGCCAACACGCGCGGCCGCCTCGCGGCCACGAGCGGCTCGCTGACCCGGGTCAGCCAGAGGGGGTCTTCGCAGGATCCTGCAGGATCCAGTGCCCTGGCTGACCCCCGTTTGCATTGACTCGGGGATGGACAGACCCCCCTTTAGTAAAACGTGGTTTAGTGAAAACGACCTGAGGCCCAAACCTGAGGCCCAAACCTGGCGGCCACGGCGCCCTCTCGAGAACCGAAAACGAACAATTCACTAATCGACGTGTCACTGTTGGGGGTTCTGTCCACCCCCGATTGACCCCCGTCTCGAGGCTCCCGACAGGGCCCCACCTTCGAACCGCCGGCACGGGAGCGAAGGGCCGGCAAGAGGGCCCCCGGGGGGGCGCGCCTGCGGCCCCGCGCCGCCCTGGCGGGCGCTCCAGCCCGCGCGCGGCGGCGCTGCCGCCGCCGCGGCCGCCTCTGGGCGGTGCCCTGGGGGTGTGCGGTTCGGGTCGGGCGACAGGGGGGGACAGCAAAGGAGGGGTTGAGAATCAGCCCTCGTAGCTGATCTTCCCGGCGCCTCCCGGCGCCGGAGGCGGCCATGTATCGAGGAAAGGGCCCTGCGGCGGGGCCGGAACCAGCTGCATGCAGCCAATTTCCTGACCCCCCCTCTCCCAGTCCCCCCCTTTCGTCCGGCCCGAGCGGTGAACAGGCGGCGCCCCGGCCGGGGGGGGGCGGAGGGGCGCGGCGACGGCGGCGAGGACGGCGGTCACGCTGACCGGTGCGCCCCAGGGCTGGACCTACACACTGTTGTGGTCGTTTGGTCTTTCGCAGTGCTCTACCCGTTGTCCTGTGCCTCCTTGCAGAAGCGCAAAGCAGGACACAGCCGAAGTCCAGCAAAACAGCTTTTAGGTCCAGCCCTGGTGCGCCCAGGGTGATGGAATAACAGAACACGCTCAGCCCTCGGCCCCGAGAGGCTCCCAGGAGACCCCTGGAGGTTCCCAGGAGGCCAACAATAGGTCCTCAGGGAGCCCGAAGAGGCCCCCAAGAGGCTCCCAAGAGGTCCCCAAGAGGGTCCCAAGACACCCCACGTCGTCGTCGTCGTCGTCGTCGTCGTCGTCGTCGTCGTCGCCGCCGCCGCCGCCGCCGCCGCCGCCGCCGCCGCCGCCGCCGCCGCCGCCGCCGCCGCCGTCGTCGTGGTCGTCGTCGTCGTCGTCGTCGTCGTCGTCGTCGTCGTCGTCGTCGTCGTCGTCGTCGTCGTCGTCGTCGTCGTCTCCCTTCAGGGTCGGCGGCACCAGCCGTGTGGACTTCGCGATAACGCCTCTGGGGAGGAGAGATGCGAAGGGCAAGGCGATGATGGTGCTGCACGCGTGGGTGCGAGATGCCCGGCCCCGCGGAGGGGGTCCCCGCTCGAGCGGGGAGCCCCACTCCACAGCAAACACCCAGAGGCCCCCCACCGAGAGGCATTCCTCCCCGTAGCAGAGGCTTGGGTGCTGCATTTCGGTCCATGGCAGGAGGAGAAGGTTTGGGTGCCGAATCGTGGTTCATGACAGGAAGAGAAGCAGAGGGGGAGGGCACTCTGAGAGGCTCTCGGAACCTTCAACGAAGACGCAGGGGGGCTTCTCAGAATGCCAGAGGGCGTCTGAGAAGCCCCGCTCTCTCTCACTTCGCCCTTCGGCGCGCTGCCGACATGACAGCTCGCGGGTACGATGGCGGCGAGGACGAGCACTTCGCACGCATGATCGGGCGAGCGGTGTCAAGTCGTCTTTGCAGCTTGTGCTGGGCGACCGGGGTATCACCACTGGCCTGGGGATGACAGCAGGTGTGGTCCCATTGCCTGCGTCCGAGGGCTGGTTGGTGCTGATGTCGGCGCGGCCGTCGGCGTAGCAACCGAAGGCCACGTCGGCGCTGCTGTCGGCGCTGATCTTGTCGGCGCCCCCCTTGTCGGCCCCACCGTCTTCTGGTCGGTGCTCTCGTTGGCGTGCCCTCCGTCGCAGCAGTTGGAGACCTTCGCGGTGCCGCAGGTTGGCGCTGTCGACGGCGCGGCAATCAAATACCTTGTCCGTGCTGCCGTCGACGCAGCCTTCGGCGCAGCAGACGGAGATCCTGCTGGTGTTGCTGCCACCAGGTGGATGTCTGAAAGCATGGGTCGGCCCCCTCTCCTCGCTGGCTTGCCCGGGGGCCCTAGACTGTCCAACGAAACTGCGTTCGTACTCTTCGTCGTCGTCGTCCGCATCGAGGGGGGACCACGACAACCGCGCCTAGGCCATCGACTTTCACCTCGGCCCAGTCGATCGCGGTTTGCAGCGTGCCGTGGTCGGCCGTGTGCATGTCCACTGCTGACTCCGGCGTGTCCAGGCGCTTACCGATCTCGTGTTCGGTGCTGCATGCGATCGCACAGCGACTGCATCTCCGAAGCGGGAGCGTGGCCTCGTCGAGGCCTCTGACGAGCCCCTTCTGCTGAGGCTGAACGTGCATGTTGGCACTGCGCCGAATTCGGGGTCTGAATTGACGGTCGCAGACGCCGAGGAAGGGCATGATGTCGTAGAGCCAGGCTGGCTACTGGTAGTCTCCCCAGGAGGGCTTGGCTGGGTTTGTTCTCTAAGTTTTCAAAATATGCCCACGAGATGTGCCGCACCAACGTGTAGGCGCAATCCATGCGGATGATAGGGTTTCCTAGTTCGCGCGGTACAAATGAAATCCGCCACGCCGCGGTAGCTAGACCCTCGCATGAAGCTCGTGGAGCTCGTGGGCGATATTGAAGCCGGCGTATCCCTTTTCACAGACGCGCCCATCCGGCACCCATGGCGCAGAGCCCGCCCACCTAGGACCAAAAAGGTTTCTCTCAACCAGTCGCGATCGCGGCATCAGGCTGCTTGGGTGTCTCTCCTGCGGTCCCAGCGTTGGCTGTGCGACGGGCTCCAGAATGCTCAGATAATCTGTTCGAGCCAGGAATGGACCGCGATAGCTTCGCTATTGGACCATCTGCACCATGACAGCCCAGACCAGATCCGGGCCTCTGCCCACCTCCGAAAGCAGTGGCAGGCCCTCGTGATGGGCTTGTGAGCAGCTCTTCAGGAGGGGCAGCAGGGGCAGGAGGTGTCAGAGTGCCTCCCCTCGCTGCTGTAGGGGCTCGCAGAGGCAGAGGAGGCGCTGAAGGGGGAGGCGGCGGAGGAGATGAGGTCAGCTGATCTGTCATGGAGGGATTGGCTCAGGGAGGCTAGGCGAGGACGAGCAAGCAAGGCGCACAGCTTGTCCAGAGGCATGGCTGCCTGGTTTGTCCCGCAGACCCCTGCCGCCGATAGAAAGTGGAGCGGAAGACCCTCCCAGCTGGTCGAGAGACCTCTGGGACGTCCAACCTTCAGAGCCCCAGCACTACGTGCCCGCTCACCCCTCCGCTGCCCTTCCCCCCTATCACGGAAGAGATGGTGGCGAAAGCATCCAGGTTCTTCCCAGCAGCCACGGCGCAACCGTGGATGAATTGTAAGTGCCCTCGTCGCTACCAGCTGCTGTTCCCTGAAAGGCGAGAAACGGTGGTCGGGTTCCTCAATGCCGCTGAGAGACACGACCTCCTCCTCCTCCTCCTCCTCCTCGTCCTCCTTCCGTTCCTCCCTTCCTCCCTCGTCCTGCCGCCTCCCGCCTCCTCCCCCCGTCTCCCCCTATCGCCGCCACTTCCCCCTCCTCCACCCCTACCTCCTCCTCCTCCGCCTCCTCCACCTCCTCCCCACTTCCTCCCTCCGTCCTCCTCTCCACTCCCGCTCTCCACTCGCTCCCTCCCTGACTACCTACCAGGCCACCACAACCCAACCCGAAGACCCGAACTTCGGGTTGAGGGGGGGGTACGGGTTCCATGTGTGGTTTCTCAATGTTCCCCGACCCCCCCCCCACTGGAAATGGAGGGCAAATTGAGGCCTTCGGGTTGGGTTGGGGTGGTTTGGTGAGTGGTGACTCCCTCCCTCCCCCACCCCCGCCCCGGGCCCCCCACGGCGGAGCCTTGCAGGCCGGAGGGCGGAGGCTGCGCCCAGGCCCGGGTACCCCGAGGCTCCGCCTGTGGGGGGGGGGGCACGGACCTGGCTGGCTGGCTCGTGGCGGGAGGGGCGGCGAGGACCGAGGAGGCGAATGAGGATGATGCCGTCACCGTCGCCGTCGCCGTCGCCGTCGCCGTCGTCGCCGTCGTCGTCGTCGTCGTCGTCGTCCAACGCGCTTGTTCGGGTCCCCTGTGTCTTTGTGCGCGTCTGTAGCCATCGGGGCCCAAGCTCCAGCCCGCGCCCTGAGCTCCCTGGTGCGGCTGGGGCCCAAGCCCCAGCCCGCGCCTCAGCGTCCTGAGCTTCTCCTCCTCCTCCTCCTCCTCCTCCTCCTCCTCCTCCTCCTCCTCCTCCTCCCGCTCCTCCCCTCCCTCCTCCTCCTTCCATCCATCCCTCCCCCTGCCCAGGGGCACCCAAGTGGGTCCCCACCCCCGTCGCACAGTGGGGTCCCTGGGCATCGGGGCTCTGAGTGGCCGGGTGGAAGGAGGGATGTGGGAGGCACAGAGGGCGGAGAGGGGGGAAACAGAGAAAAAGAAGGAGGAGGAGGAGGAGGAGGAGGAGGAGTGCAGGAGAGGGAGGAGGAGGACGAGGAGGAGGAGGAGGAGGAGGAGAAGGAGGAGGAGGAGGAGGAGGAGGAGGGAGGAGGAGGAGGGGGAGGAGGAGGACGAGGAGGACGAGAAGGAGGAGGAGGGGGAGGAAGAAGAGGAGGAGGAGGAGGAGGAGGAGGAGGAGGAGGAGGAGGAGGAGAGGGAGAAGGGAAGAGATGGATGACGAAGGGGAGAACACGAGTGAGGGTGAGGGGCACGGGACGGGCAGGCAGGCGGGGGACGGGAAGGCAGGCGGGGAGCAGGCGGAGAGGGGGAAGCGGCGGGGATAAGCGAAGGGGGCGCGAGGAAGGAAGCGGGAGGCGGTGGAGGGACAGAGGACGGGGCACTGAGAGGGGAGACGGTGGAGGGGAGAGAGGGCGTATCACCGAGGCATGTCGGGAGAGAGTGAGAGCGACACATGTGTATGTATGTGTATGTATAGCTCTTTATGTATTCATATGTGTAGATATACACGTATACACATGCGTCTACAACGCTGCATGTACAAAGAAGATGGGTACCCAAACGAACATACTCATTTCGGCAGGCATATGGTGGCCGCCCCTGGAAGGTTGCAGGGGCACAAAGCGAAACCTCGTGTCCGCACTCTCTGGTTGTACCCGCATTGGTTGCATGTGTATGATTCTCGCTGGCTGGATGCGCAGTGGAGGAAATGGACTCGTAAGGGAGGGACAAGGGAGGGAGGGAGGGAGGAGGCAGGAGGATGTAGGGGATCTCGTGGCAGCTGAACTCGCAGCGCTAGAACTCCCAGTGGTCGCTGGCTGGGCCGTTCTGGAACTCGTGCTGGCTGTATCATCGCGGCTGAATTTTAAAGGATTATCCCAGTGCGACCCTACCTAGGAGTTGGAACCCCTAGGAAAGCAGCATTAGTAGTAACAGTAACGCTAAGCTAAAGCTAAGCTAAAGCTAAGCTAAAGCTAAGCTAAAGCTAAGCTAACGCTAAGCCACAGCTAAGCTAAAGCTAAGCTAAAGCTAAGCTAAAGCTAAGCTAAAGCTGAGCTAAAGCTGAGCTAAAGCTAAGCTAAAGCTAAGCTAAAGCTAAGCTAAAGCTAAGCTAAATCTAAGCTAAAGCTGAACAACAGCTAAGCTAAAGCTAAGCTACAGCTAAGCTAAAGCTAAGCTAACACTAAGCTACAGCTAAGGTAAATCTAAGCTACAGCTAAGCTCAAGCTAAGCTAAAGCTAAGCTAAAGCTGAGCTAAAGCTAAGCTAAACGCTAAGCGAACAGCTAAGCGAAACGCTAAGCGAAACGCTAAGCGAAAAGCTAAGCGAAACGCTAAGCGAAACGCTAAGCGAAACGCTACGCTAAAGCTAAGCTAAAGCTAAGCTAAAGCTAAGCTAAAGCTAAAGCTAAAGCTAAAGCTAAAGCTCCCAGGGGACTTGGGGGAACCGCGGGGCGGGGACTGGGGGAACCGCCCGGGGCGCTTTCCACTGCCTGGCCCCTTTAAGCTAGAGAGTAAGAACCCTTCTAGGCAGAGCCTAGGTAGGGAATTAATGAGCTCACGGTCATGAAGGATCACGACGTGAAATCCGCCAGCCTCTGCAAGCGTTTGCGAGGAGCAGCCCCGGAGTTCTTCGTCCGGGGGTTGTCCTGGGAGACGCCTGAACCATTCGAAGCTCTTCCCCCCAGCTCCCTGCGGCCACCTGGGGCTCTCCAAGGGCGCCAGCCCGAAGTGAATCGAGCCAGGAGAAAATCCCTTCCTACGGCCCCTTGCCCGCGGGGGCGGGGGGGGGGGTCGCTCGCATCGGGGGGGGGACGCCCCCCGAAAGAGGGGCGCGCCTCCCCGCCCAGAACCGGCCTCGAGCCTGCCCCTACCTCATGAGATCTGCGAGCCGAGCGGCGATGGCAGCCTTCTGGCGAAAGAGCAACACGCACCCACGCCAACAGGGGGGGGGGGGGGCAGGGGGGGGCTATGGGCGCATGTCGTCGGATGGGGGTCCCCGCTCGGACGGGAGCCTCTCCCAGGCTCCGACAGCCCGCACACACACACACACACCCATAGCCGATCATCATCCCTCCGACCCTCCTGCGGGCATGGTGTGTGTGTGTGTGCCTGTGTGTGTGCCTGTGTGTGTGTGTGTGTCTGTGCTGTTCGTTCGTCATCTTGGTGACGAGCTCTCAGAAACTGAGGGAATTCGATTGATCGGCATCGAGACAAGGCGATGCGAGTCATCGGAGGGGCGAAGGTGAGATCGCAGTGAAAAGCGAGAGCCCTCTGCGGCTCCAGTTCCCCGCCCCCGTCGCGTGTGCGGGCGAGGCGGGGCGAAGCTGCGTGGGCGGGCGAAAGGAATGAGGCCTCCTCTGGCCAGGGTGCCGCCGGGAAAAAAGAGAGACCCTCCGGATTGGACGGCGGTGGCCGCGGGTGTCCCGCCGGGGGGGTCCCGCGGGGGTGATCCGCCAGTGTCCCGTCGGTGTCCCGTACTAAGATCGATGGTGCGATCGACAGTGAGACCTACAGTGAGATCGATCGGGGAATCAGTAGTGCAATCGATAGTGAGATCGGTGGTGACATCGGTAGTCTGATCTACAGTGAGATCGATATAATAATATCGACAGTGATGCCGATAGTGAGATCGATCGGGAGATCAGTAGTGCACTCGATAGCGAGATCGGTGGTGAAATCGGTAGTCAGATCTACAGTGAGATCGATAGTGTAATCGATAAGAAGAGCGATACTGATACCGATATTGGCATCGATAGTTGGATCGATATTGAAATCGATCGTAGAAAAGGCAGTGATAGTGATAGTG